TAGTCAAACTCTGGTAGAAGAGAATCGCCCCGTGCTTTGGTCTTGGCAGGTAGATTAAAGTATCAAGTGAAAAACCAGGTCCTTGCTTTAAAAGGTATTTAATTTTAAACGGCTGGCCCTGTGAAATGCCATGTTCAAGTGCCTGTCTGCCTGCACTTGATGCTGGAGGTGTTCAGCTCCTCAAGCACTTGAGCTGGGAGGATGTTTGCACTAGCAGTACACGTGCGGTGGGGCACATCCCCAGCTTCTCCACGGGTTTTGTGCTATGAGCATAAAAAATAGCGCAGGCTTTCTGCTCCCCAGTTACTCGCCAGTTATTTTGACTCAAGATGAGTTTCTGGAGTCTAATTGAGATCACGTTCTCAAGGCTTTAGGAATGTGTCGTTCTATATGTTTACCTTTTCATTTTTCATATTTAAACTTTTTAGAGGCATTTTTCCCCTCTATGTTCATCTCTCATGGTGAAACTGGGAGTTTGTTGGGTAGTAACTGTTGAGTTCTTCAGCAGAAAGAAGTCCTTTCTTGATCCCTTTGCCTCCCCTGTGCTTCTCTCCTTGTTTTTGCACGGCTTGCTCGCTCCTGTCGAGCGTTAGGCTGTCTTCCATCTACAGTGGGGTTGTACCTTCCACGTATTGCATACTCTAGATGTCTGTCATGGTTGGTATTCCTGAAAAATGTTTAATTTCTAGTTTCTGGCTCCAAAACTGGTCCTTATTTCCATGGGCTTGGCTTTCAATCCCGAACTAGAAAACTAAGCAGTGAGCAAAGCACTTAGGGTTTTCTGCAACTGGAGAAGAGGCACCTACAGCGATGCCGTCTAAGCACATTGTCAGTGTCAGAGAAGTGATTCACGTGAAAACAAAAAGCTGTAAGAAGTCTGGTCCAGAGAGAGATGCCTGTCCCATGGTTTTACGGGAGACCCTTCATCTTCTGTGCCTGATGTTCAGAGATATAGCCACAGTCAGGTCTCGATGAAGCTCAGCAACATCCCAGCCTGATGCTCTGGAGGATGTAGAAGGTGTGCTCCTGAAGGACCCAGGAGACAGAGGAATGAACACAGAGAGCATTCCCCTGGGCCATACCCTCTGCCTAATCTGAATTCTGCGACTTAGCTTCCTCAGCCACGCTACGACATGCCTTGGTGACTTCATGACATTCTGTGACATCTCTTGGCATGAAGAGCTCCCAAGTTGTCAATTTGACCACCTCTGCAGCATGCCAGAGGTTTATAGGACAGTAAACATTTGTTCTGAGAAGAGAATGTAAATCATGTTATCTCATCATCTTCAGGAAAACATAAATTTCTCTTCCTTGTGTTCAGTTTCAAAACAGCGACATCAGCCCTTGTTATCCCATACCTGGAAAGCACAGTTTGCATATTTTGATTTTTTTTTTAGGATGTTTATTTTCGGACTGCTATCAAATCCTCTCCAAAGACACTTTGTTTTGTTCCCTGCCTCACTGTTAACACACCTGGGACTGAGAGCAGCACAATCTCCTTTTGGTTGGGCTCTGAGAGTCTTGAGAATATTTTCACCATCCTTGGTGCAGTGTTGGCCCTCATGAAGAGGTACCTTATTGCAGGTTGTTTGGTTTTGTTTTGTTTTTTTTTTTACCTAAAGAGTATTTCATGTGCATAATGACAGAGAACCACCATCTCTGCCTAGATACACACTCGCACATGGCTTGTGGATCGTTTATCCCTGTGACTGGTCTCAGCTGGGCAGCTCTTGTCTCCGTTTGGTTTCAACCATGCAAATCGGCAAAGGTGTACCATTTTTCTCTCCCCAGATGTTGTCATCACTGGGACAAATGCTTAGTTAAGGATAGAGAGCACACAACCATAGTCACTCCTGTTTAGTGGGGTGTCACTCCTATTTTGAAGGGGTATTCTTGCACACCAAGAGGGCCTGGAGCTCAGGGTGATAGATTTTACCCTTATTAGAGGATTTATCTTCCACTGGTGGACATCACGTCCAGGGTCTGAGGATGAACAGACATCCCCGTGTTTATATAAATTAAAAAAGGGGAGGCAAAATCTCACCCCGCCCCAGTAAGAGAGGGTGGGTTGGTCTGTGGAATGGGTGCATTGATCCTTTAAACGGTGCACCCCATGGGATTTCAAAACAGAGTGCCCAGGTAGAGCACCCAGCATCGTTTGTTTTGACCTTGGTGACTCCTAAAGGAATGGGTAACTGTGGAAGCGTTATCGAAATTTCTGCAAAATACTGCGCTGGAGTGCACGGTGCCTTTGAAATTTCCTGCAACCACTGTTTTTCAGTGATGGAGTCTCTCTACTGCTGGCTTGGACTTTGCTCTGGAGTGTGCACATGGACAGACACTCAAGAGCGAAGCAGTGGATGTGTTGATAAACAAAATTTACTGAGAGATGCAAAATGTAAATATAGCAATTAAAATTGCAAAATTTATCATCTTACAGGCAAATTGGTAGATTCTCTGAAAAGTGTTGTCCATATGCGTCTTCTGGATCCTGGCACTTCCCTAAAAACTCCTGATATTTTGTGGTTGAAGGTAAACTGAGAAGCAAGAAAAACCACACACTTTATTTTTTTCCCCTTAACTCTGGGTGCTGGGTAGAAAGGAAGGGTGTATAGTCCAAATGCTGTAAAAAATATATCTGAGCTTCAGTGCAGTGTGCGTGTTAATGACACATCTCAGAGATAAGTTACTCTGTTGTCAAGAAGTACGGTCCTCCTGAAGGTCACTGGTAGTTTCACCTGGTGCTTGTGTTAACAGCAGACCAAATTTTTCAGGTTCCCTTTTGAAGGCATTACTAAGTATGCAGAGAAATACTGTTGGGTATGTCATTTGCAGTTCCTCAGTGTGCTCATATCTTGGAGCTGATTTTGATGTGACCTTCAACATCTGTGTTTTTGAAGAACGCCATAAGAGTAAGAGTTAGGAATGTTCTTCCCAAGTGAGATGAATTCATGCGGGGTAGGGAAAACCTACTTCTTTCTGTGTATTCTTTCCAACAGAGAGACTTAGGCTTGATTCCAGAAAGAGTTTGATGATCACTCCTCCCCAAATGGGTATTCTTCCAGTGGTAATCAGTGACTCGGCCACGGGTCTCTCCATCTCTGCATGCTTTGGATGTTGAGCACAACACTCTCCAAAGCCATCAAGCTTTCAGCCCTCCTCTGTCAGCTTCCCCAGGAACATATTCTGAGAGGGATTTTACAGAATGCAGGTGGAACAGCTCTTAAAGACCTGCTAGACAATGCATAAAAAGTCTACATTGTCCATGGAATCAAGGATGGAGGAGATTGCAGAGACATCTGCGAGGTGGTCCCTTGCCTTTGCCACTCGCCCACGTGCCTGTCTCTGGACATCACGCTGTGTGCTGCATTGTCTCCAAGTCTGAAAGAGGAAGTTTTGCTGGGTATTTCCTTTCTTGCTCCAGTTCTAAACTGAGATTTCTGGACATGGATTCATGTCTGTGCCTACAGGGATGTTTCTGAAAAATCAGCTTGCATGTTGGTTGACTTCTCGCTAGATTGCTTCTTGCTCTGGCCAGTCGTTACCCTAAGCTGCCGTGTCTGCTCTTCAAAGTCAGGCTTGCTTCCTCTCCTGTTCTCCTCTGTCAGTGTAAAACAGCAATATCATTCCAGTTATTTTTTGTGAGTCAGTTTGCTATGACAGAAGGGGTAATCTTTTTCAAATCCCTGTGTTTCCTACAGACTTCATTTAGTTTTTCAGCAGACGATGTCAGGTCTGTCTGCCTTGGCAAAGAAACAAAAAATACTACAGGAGAAAGGTCACGACTTCTAGCTTCACGTGCCTGGTTTGTGCTGTAGCAGAGTTAAAATGGGAAGGTCCCTTCTAACCCAAACCATTCTATGAAATCGTGATGGCTCAGGCTTTCTCAGAATGTTTTTAGGCGAGTATAAAAACTTAATTTGAGTGGTTTCACATAGGGGACAGGCTAGAGCTCTGCTGCGTATGGAAAAAAAACCCAAACCAGCCCCTCTGAGTATTTTCCATGACTTTGAACTTTTTAGGAACACCGATGACAGTTAAATACTTATTTTTTTTTTTGGTCACAGGGCTATTGCTGTTGTCAGCTCACCAAATTTTGTGTGTCCCACATTAGATGAGACCTAAGCAGCAGAGCAGCAGATTTCCAAGCTTAGGGTGGGATCTGAATTACTAGGATGACAGCTGTGGTACTGCTTTGCTTAAGCAAGCTCTGAGCCTCAGTTAGACGAGAGATTCTGACTTGCATTATAACATGCCTGCTGGGCTTAATCCTGAAATCAGGCAGTGTGTCATGAGGTTGGTCCCAGAGCTCAATCGGTTCCAAATCTGGAAAACACAATAACAGCACACAAAAAAACCCACTAGAGCTCTTAGTGGCTTTTGAAAGAGCTGTGATTCTGTTCTGTGCCAGAAATTACTCATTCAGAGGCTTTCTCATTGAACTGCCTTCCCAGCTCCTAGATATTTCTGAAAGGATAGAAATGCAATGGAGACTTCTAGTAGTGGAGCCTTGAAAGCCACTGTGTTACTGCAGTGTGCGGTGAAAACCAGGGATCTGACCGTACGGACACGGGAGAGAGAAGATAGGAGTGAAATTGCATTTTTTTCTAGTGATTAGGGTGCACAGAGCAGCCACCTGGTCATCACACCAGCCTGCAGTATTTCAGGATGCATTGCCCTGCCCCTCCTTTTTTTTTTTTTTGTTTTGTTTTCAGCTAAGGGAATATTTTGGAAAAGTACCATCCCAAAATGAGGGTGGGAGGAGAATAATATGAAATGTCCTCAGAGGTGATCTCCAAACTGCTGCTTGTTCTTCTGGTCAGATTAATCCTAAATGAAAAAAAAAAAAAAAACAACTTTTGAAGGTAAGAAATAATACAGATTTTAGGTATAATGGAGCTCTAGATTTTGACCTATGTGTAAATTACTCTTTGTGTGTTTGAAGAGGCTTTTTTTTGCTCTTACCCGTCTCAATTAAATGTTGTTCCTTTTCGCTGCAGCTATTCATAGTCTAAAGTTGAGCCGCAACCATGTGGACTGGCACAGTGTGGACGAAGTGTATCTTTACAGCGATGCAACCACATCTAAAATTGCAAGAACTGTCACACAAAAGTTGGGGTTTTCTAAAGGTAATACTTCTCTGAGTTTGTAAAGAATATTGTAAAAGCCAGTATTTTAAGTTTGTTACTTTAATGCTAGAGGGAGATTTCAAGTTTGAAGTTTTAATATGTGACTATCCCGCTTTGGCCGTTGCAGTTTTTACAGTATATTAGGGTGTTGGACATAATTGTAACTGGATGTGAATAGCCTATGAGTTATTTTTATCACCTATTTTATTATTTTGGATGCAGCAGTTAGCATTACATAATAAGTACATGAAAATATTACAGTGACCGTCTAGCAGCTGTGATATAAGCATCAAAGTTCCCTTTGCAACCGTAACTTTACGACTATGTACTTGAATATTGTGATGCCTTCCTTAAATACGTGATCATACCTCTCGCCAGCTCTTGCTTTTTTTCAGTTCATTAAACAGACATATGAACTGAGAGGACGGGTGAAGCATTTAGACAGAATTTTTTATCCAGGCTCATTTAAGCTCAAAACTACCGGTTAGGAAGCCAGCAAGGCTGAGCTGGTTGGAAGAGAGGAAAGCAAAAGGCAGATTATTGCCAGCCTAGAAACTGGAACTTGTCCACTCTGTTGTGGTGTTCCTATGCACTGCTGGACAACTCCGAAAACAAGAACATACACATCTGTTTTGTTCCTTGGTCTCTGAAAAGACAAGATCAGGTAATAAGTTTGGCTTTAATCTCCATGCCTCTGTTGTGTAATTAATGCCCTCTCACCCCACAGGGCTCTGGGGTGGATACTTCATTAATGTTTGCCAAGAATTAATATAATTCAGTGCTTCGGTTCCAGAAGAAATTAAGTATATTCTGTATCCAGAACATGATTTGGATAGTGTGTAATAAATAATAAGTAAGATGTGTCCTAAACAATTTGGAGAGGGAAATATTAAACAGAAGCCCACTTGATAAACAAAACCCGCGTAAAAACTGCCCTTAGTGTTTTTGCAGTGTTTTCTTCCTTAAAAACCAAACAAGTTGTTTGTTTCAGTTTTTGTGGTGGGGAATGATGCTCCATGGCCACGCGAAGGGGTTGCTGGATTCATTTGGAGCTAGAGCACTCGTGCAAGGCTGTGGTCCTCGCTGTGGGTCTGTCACTAGAGGGGGATGGAGACACGCTGTGCTGGTGGGTTTCTCAATCCATGGGCGCAGCAGTGAGAGAATACCCAGATTTGCCTTGAGTAATTGATTTTTGGTTTGGCCACTGAAGTGGAGAACAAGTGGGGAAATTTGAGGTTGGAACAGCTTGAAATAAAACATAGGTTTTCCCCATTAAAATGAAAAATTGTAAAGCTTTTCAACCAGCTCTCTTAACTGGGTCAGAGAAAGAATGACAATACTTGTGAGTTTTGTGGTCAGATCATTTCCATGACCCTTCCATGCTGTGGAAGTAAGGTGGAGATGTAAGGAAGTTTAATGATTGAGACACACAGAGGAAGGGTATTGTGTTGTAAAAGTGGATGGACAATTATACAACTGTTTTCCAAAAACGTCTCTGAAATGAGTTACCTTTACAGTGGAAATGTTAATGCACTGACTCATACGATTAACATCACCCAGTTACTCAAATCTCTCAGGAGTTTAAAATGGCAGATATTTTAAAATACATGCTATTCCTTTGTGTGTAATCTTATTTTCAAATAATTCAATGCATTGGTCTGAGACAAGTCAAGCTTCTGTCAACATGTAAGACCATTGCACTTCACAGAATGTAACTGATCCAGGTTCGTGTTTCTTCTACAGCTTCGAGCAGTGGGACAAGGCTACATAGAGGCTATGTAGAAGAAGCTACGTTAGAAGACAAGCCGCCACAAACTAGTCACATTGTGTTTGTTGTGCATGGTATTGGGCAGAAAATGGACCAAGGAAGGATCATCAAAAACACAGCTATGTGAGTGCTTTGTAATATTTGCAGTACCGACTCTAGCCTGAGATAAGGCTGACGTTATAAATGACAACAGACCCTTCCTCTTTCCTTCTCTTCTTCCTCTTTGGTATTTTAAATTGTGGGTATGCTACTTTCTATGTTAATTTGGATGTATGAGCCTCGTGAGAGCAGCTGCAAGGCAGAAAAGTAAAGATATATTCTGTTTTCATGACCAACACTTGCAACTTTTAAGGGGACTGGCCTGTGAATTTCCAGCAGCTGTGGTCAGTGGCTTTGCTGAGCGGGGAGAGATTTTTCATTTGGTCAAAATCAATCTCCATTGTTCCTGCTGGTTGTCAGAATAGTGGAAGAGTGAAGTGCATACTGGTAAGAGGGGGAAATGAGGAGCTAGAGGGGATGTTGGCATTCTTAACAGGATGGAGTGACTTCATACGGTTGGAAGCTATTGCTGGGAGTCTGCTCATCAAACTCTGTGCATAGATGCCTGCTAAAAAGTAAAACACGATTGAAAGCTCACCAGATCTTTTGAGTGTCTTTTCTGAGGACTGGCTTGCAGATGGTTTTCAGTTTGACACCTGAGCTAACTCAGAAGGCCACTTAGGGTGCTGGTGAATGGAAAGAAAAACTCCTGAGCTGTTGAGAATGCTGTCCCTGGAAAGATTGCCGAATATTAGAAGAAATTGTAAAGTCTTGATGACAGCATTGTGAGGGACAGGTGTTGTTAAGGAATGCTTCATTAGCTGAAGGAAGAGGTAAAAAAGTGTTAACTGCAGATGGGTTTTGCACAGATAGCTTCGTGTATGTGTTCCAAACAGTTCTGCGTTCCATCAAAGTCGACAGAAATAGTGACATACCCGGGGACTCCTGTGGAAGTGTGTGTAGGGCTGGGATTGCTGACTTGGTGGTAAGAGCTTTGTGAACTTCCCTTTAAATCCAGAATGGTAACGTAGGTCAGCGTTTATGTGCCATCGCTGTGGTGTGTACCATCACGTCAGCAGGCTCTTGTGTTCGGTCAGCTCGTTGTTCCACTCTAGTGTCCTCTGGGGTGTAGAGTAGACCTCTTGATTTCACCGCCGTGTCATTTGTCATCTCAGAGCAACAACCTGCTACTCCCTACTCCCCTTGTTCTGGCACTTCACTGCTCTTTTATTTGTGTTGTTTAAGAGCAAGCAATCAAAACCAAAGAGAAAAGGATCCACAACCCGTAATAAAAAGCTGAAATTAGTCACCAACACAAATGGAAAAACTTTAAATTTTTATAGGAGGCAGTTACACTGGAAATGCAAATACCCTAAATATAAGTTGCTGTTTTAACAGCGATGAGAAAAAAACCTTCCACCTTGGAATCATTAAGGTTTTTTTTCTTTTTCTTTCTCCCTACCCTGTTTTGCATTGAACATACATACAGGGATAGTATGGGTGGATTAACTCCAGGACACGGTGCATAGGTGTTCATTCGACAAGAGGTCCTGCTTTAACTGGCAGCCCATTATGTGAAATCTTTTATCTAAAAGGAAAACAAGACTTTTTGTGCTTCAGTAAATCTCTCTTATATCCTGAAGAAATATCAGACAGTATTGCATAGTCTTTTAAAATGCAAATTATTGTCATAAATTGTGTAATCTGTACAAAATCTGCAAATGAAATAATAATTTTAGATTGAAGTCTCTCTTTTTTTTTTAATAGCATAGAAGTTATCAGTGAGGAAGATCCCATGTGTTCTAGGAAGAGATTTTAGAAGAAACGTCTGCCAGGCAAGCACAGTG